GAACAACCGTTAGCCTCCTGCCGGAGCCGTGACCCGAGGGTGGCGTATCCTCTGATAGAGTAGCGCCAACTTGGTGGCTCCTCGGCTGGTTTTGAGAGCACGGTGGCCATGTGACCGAAAGCACGGATCTGGTGAAGAATCATTCTGCTAGTTAAAAGGTTTTTTTTAAACGATAACGGATAACTTTGTCCTGGCAAGCTTTCGCAGTCAGATATCATCTCCTTTCCTGGAGTCTGGATGAAGTCAACGTAAGCTCTGGCCAACTCAGCAGAAACTGTGATACGCACCCAGACCTGAGCCAGATCAACCCTGTACATCTGAATGGTTCAGTAGTGATCCGAGCTGGTATTTGTGGTCATGAAATCATAGTCAGGCACGCAAATTTCAGTGTTGTTCCTGGGGTGAGTTTGGCACCTCAGAACGAGACAGTCAGATCCCACCAAAGCTGTTAATCACAGGCCACCACCTGGCTGCTGTTGACCTTCTTCCAAGCTCCCCAGCCGTTACGTTACAGCTGACTATAGTCAGGCTCCACAGAGGCTGGCTGGGCCTCATCATTAGTTGTCCCATCTCTCTGCTGCCTTGTCTTGCTCTGGATGATTTGTTGTGCCTTTGGGGTCCGTTTATGTTCCCCGTTTATGCTCCTACCTGCTATAGTCCTAATCCCTGTCCTCACTGCCCGCTTTCTGAGCGCTCTCCAGCCTGTGTAGTCCTAATTCCAGCATCCAGTAAGTTCCGGTTCCTGCTCCAGATCAGCCTCTCCTGCCCTTGTTTCAACTCTCCAGATTATGCTTTGCATGGCAGGCTCCCTGATTTCATAGCCTTGAGGCCAACTTCTGAAAGTACTCCCCTTGCCTTGCCCATTGGGTTTGTGGATCCCTTTTTACCTCCGTTTGCACCGACTCCTGTTTCTTGCTGTTATGCCAGTTGTACTACCACCTTGGCTATACTTGGCAAATGTGTTTTCCCATGTCCCAGTTGAGATGCCTTCAGGGGATTCATAAAAGTATGCTGAGAAGAGAGATGCCTATGGCTGCAGTTAGACAACCTGTTCTGGCTGCTGGCCCAGGTGAAGAGATTACTGCTCCTTGCTATTAGCCACTGTGGTCTCCCTTGAGAGAATGACATCCCCTCAGATCTGCTAGTGTACTAGAACACACGGCTCCTTCCTAACCTATTTCTGTCACAAAGATCCACGTTAAAAGCATCTAGAGTTAAGTGGTTATGCTAACCTGGATTACAGCGACAGCACCAGGGTGGAGACATTATGCCTGCAGTTTTGAAAGCACTGACCTCAGGAAGCAGGCTGGTAATAAGTAAGCGGGGGTAGTAATCTTTTCACTCAGCTCATTGCAAATGCTGTTTTTTATGTCAGCCGAGGCCGCCCGACAGGAAATGCTGAGGACGCCAGTGATACAGGATCACCGCTAGGATATAGCTGACCGCAGAATCTACTTGGGATTCATAATGCCAGTTCATTGCCAAGGTTATATCCCTTTGTCGCAAAACAAGGCAAACAGGGATGTCCTGCAAACCTCCTCACATCCATTTGCCCCGTGGCTACTGCAATCCCTGAGCATAGGAAATATCGGTCTTTTGCTTGAGAAGGAATGTGAACTTAATCTTTACAAGGGGGGAAAAAAGAATTCAGCTGTTATGCTGGGAGGTATTTAGGGTATGCTGCCTTTAAGCTTGTCTGTTAGAACCATTCAAGTTTGCAAGGAATAATTAAATATTCATTTAGAGAGACGGGAGAATGAGCACTGCTCTTTAGTCTTCTGGTCTGAGCACTCACGCAGAGGGAGATTCCAGTCCTACCATCACTGAATACTTAATATAATATATTTAAATGTTAATTGGAGTCCTGGTGAGTGCCGTGAGCATTAAGCTACAGAGTATTGCTCATTCTTGTCTTTTTCCTTGGCCCAATTAATATTTAATTATTTCATGCAAATTAGAACCGCCTTACAGGAATGATGGAGAATCACCTTCCTTGCAATATTCTCTGACTTAGTGATTATTCATGTGAGGCAAGGGGCATATAGCTTCAAATCTTCTCTTTAGGAATTTGAGGGATTTGAAACCAGCTCTCCCGAATTTAGGATGAGCGCTCTGATCATTGTATGGTCAGCTAGAAGAAAGGCACCTTGGGTCATGTGGGGCCCAGGCCAGTAGATGAGCTCTTAGAATCCCTTCTGGATCAAGCCTGGTGGGCAGAGAGGTGGCGAGACAAACTGAATCCTGGCAGGGCTTAAACCTGAGCTAGGACTGAGGTTGCTTATCACCATCCAGACTTGGGCAGTTCCGAGCACGGCTCTCAGATGGGCTCTTTGGTACCGGGGCCTTCGTGTGTTGCTAGCAATAGCGGGTAGCTTAGTCTGGAGAAATGAAAATTTGGACTTCAGCTCTTGAATTCTGACTCAGCTCTTGAATTCTGACTGTCAGTCAGACTGTCAGTCAGACTGTAAGAGTTTGTGACTGTAAGTCTTTTGGGTTATAACTGTAAACAAAACGTGCTGTCAGGCTTTCCTTTATGTAAGTAAAGGAAATAGGAATAGTAAAAATAAGTAATTTACTTTAAATAAGTCAAAATGTCTCATTATTTTGTTTTGCTTTTCTTTTGGTCAACACCCTACTAGAAAGCCTTGTGTGAATATTCAAGCTGCTTACTACTCCTCCCTCCCAGTAACATTGCAATGAGAAGAGATGTCCAAGAGGGTCAGGCTCGCTGTTTATCTCGGCTAGGAAGACACAAGGAGGCTCTGGATATTGCAGAAAAACTGGTAAATAATGCAATTTTTATTTTTACTTTGAACATCGAAATGTTCCCAGTAATTCTTTTGCATGGACCATTTTCTGGAAAAATAACCTTCGCGTGTATAACCCTTCAGGATGTTCAGTGCTCAGAGTATTTGGTAAACAGAGGGTAACTGTCACTGCAGATATAATCACTCTTTAGAAATCAGAACACCCTGTACCACAATGAACTCCCTGTGCAAGGAGGCTGGTAGTCTTGGAAGGGACTAAATATCATGCTCTGCCAGGCAGAATTAATGTAATGTAATAGGAATTATAAGAAAGGGGATAAATGAGTGCTTAAATCTTTCCACTGTAAAAGTGACGGTTCAAAACTCCGTTTTATTTCCAAAGACTCACTGCCACCAGGAAGAGTATCTAACCACAAATTGAGTTTTTCCCCATAAAGGAAAAAGTCCAGACGCTCTGCAGTCTCTAAGATTTTACTGTTGCCCTTTATTTTATATAAAAGGTGTTTGTACTACAAAGAAGGGTAGCTGTATAAAACTCTGAAGGCAAATAAATGACAATATTCAGGGACCTTTTTGTCTTTCAGCCTGGGACAAGGCAACTAGGCGGAGTGCTGTCAACTTGATCAGGCATGATCTATATCATGTTATGTTATTTAAAATATTTAACAGAGTTGATACAGTTTTGGGGGATTTAAAAAAAAAAAAAACCTTTAGAGATATTTGTGTGTCGTTATCAGAGAGACATTTTCTTACGCTGTGAAGGATGATTCTGTTCTACTGCTAGTTTTAATTTGTTTTCTTTTATTTGTAGAGAAATGGTGCTACTAATACAGATCACTTAACGACTGTTCTCAACCTGCAGTTTGCCATTTATCAGGGTCTGGAAAATGTGGAAAAAAAGATCACGTGTCTACAGCAACTGATTGGCTTACATCCTTTCAACCCTTGGTACTGGAAGTTACTCGCTGAAGCTTATATGAGCCTTTTACAGAATCTGTCTCCATTGTTCATTCCAGAAATGAAACTAAATCAGTCTGAAGAGACTGGAGTAAGTGACAGTAATTTCAAAACATCAACTGGAAGAGAGATTAATTTCCAGTCTCACAGATCAGACAGCCAGAAAGAATGTTTTTGGCCCGGCTTTGCTATAGAAACAAAGAATAAAAATCCAGTAACTTGTAGCAACAGCGAAATAATAAAAGAATTCCTCTGCACTTCAGAAGAAGCTGAAAGAAGAGACGAAGGGAAACACATAGCCTCTGAGTTCTGGGAGCAGAACACGTTGAAGAAAGTTGGGGTAAAGGCATGTGCCTCGTTTATTAGAGCAAGGTAACTGAATGTGTTCTTAGAATAATGTTTTCTTCCAATCCAAAAACAATGTTGAGCATGTTATTCCCCAGCCTTAATACTGCAAGTTTACATTTCAAATTGAATGTTTGTTTCTGTATGAGCAACACAAACCTAGAGCACCCTGCTATTGCTGGAGGGCTGAAAAATAAAGCCCACCAACGTGGTAGTTGTGAGCAATGTAAACTTCAGTGGAAAGAGTAGACCAATGTCACGTATAGTTGAAGAATAAAGCATTTTTTGAATGATCTCGGGATATGAATCTTTTTCAAATCATTATGTACAGAAGGGTTTGTTCTCCTACAAATACTCTGTTAGAGCCTGGCTGTTTTCTGGTTTGCTATTAAAGACAGAGCAACTGAACTCTCCAAAAGGAACCGTAGCCAGCGTGCTTTGTGTAAGTACCACCTGTCTGATTTGTTTGAAGCCTCAATGCTTGAGAGAAAGTGTGTTATTTTAATAATACCCCAGTTTGCATAATGGATGAGGTTGAAAAATGAACTCTGTGACAGCTGATTGACAAGGCTGCATTAAAATGCTCTTTTTCTTCCGTTGCTTCCTAAAACTCTTGCACAAAACAAATTCCCCAAAACATAATCTTTCAAAGAGATCATTAGGAACTGTTGTTTGTTAAAATAGTCTTGATTTCTTTTCTCTTGCCTCTCGGTAGTGTATTAATCACGGAACATGTTAAAGCCATTTTATGAACTTCTGAAAATGTTTACAGTGAACACCTTATAAATGTCCTATGAAGGCAAGATTTAAGAAATATAAAAACAGATATAATAACTTGTAACTGTGCTGGGACTTTACTTGTTGCTTGGGAGAAGTTCAATGTATTTTATACTTATTTTAATATGGATGTCGTTTTATTGTTCTATATAATTTGTGCTTTTTCTTTCCGGGTATATGGTTCAGCATTGAGACAGTTCTAAACTCCGTGATTGCATGCGTGGCTACACAGTTAGACTGAGTGTTATTGTGGTTTATTTTGGCAGATACACATCATAATGACTATTAATTTTGCCTAGGGTAAGCTTGTCCCCTGCCCAAGGCTTACGTATTAAATAGGTTGTCTAACGTTTTCAAGTTTGCTGGGTTTTAAGTGAGACCTAAGTGTTGTGTAAACCTTTGGACAGGGTAAATTTCAGCTGAAAAAGAGATGTTAGTATTGATTTATTTAGTAAATAAGGTTCTGTGTTAGAGCACTGTGGATAATTGACTCGTAGTTTTGCCAACAAAATAAAAAATGGAGAAAGATCTAGTTTTGCTGAGATTTCATTCTTTTAACATTAAATTTATGCAAATTTGGATACAAACATGTTTCTCATAGGAAAAAATCCTTTCCATTTTTATTTCTAATTTCCAAATCAAAATTTTGCTGAATTCACAAATGGTGTGTTGGCTCAGACTTGTGATTTTGATGTATATAACGTTCAAATGAAAAACTTTCACTGGAGATTAAGTCTTCTGTTGATAAAAATACACGTCTGTATTTTAACACCTACTTCATTTAACTTCAGCAAATGTGATAAAAATTATTATTTTTGTTGTTCTTCTTACTTTATGGATAAAGCTCTCAGTAATGATACTGACATGTCGCAGTGGCCCCCTGTCTGAACGTACATAGATATTTCCCCTGCTGAGATGTTCCACAGTCCTTGTGCGAAGGTGACTCGGGAAACTGCTGCTGCTCTCTGGTCGAGCCGTTGGTGATGAGGTCCCTCCGTGGCACGTAGCCATGCTGCGAGTGCAACATCTAGCCTCTAATGAATCGCGGTGTTGACTTTTGGGGCACCTCCTTGAATTTGAAATTGCCATGAAAGATTTTGTAACGTATCTCAGGGTTGGCCTGCAGGACGAGGATATTTGATATGTGTCTAAACCCTCCCACGTTTCTAGCTCTTCAGGTTACAAAGATTTCTGTATGCAGCAATGCATTGCTGTCTTGTTAGGTCCTGATAAGGATGTGGGACATGTGATATGCCACAGTTAATGCTAGCAGATCAGAGCTTCACTTTTGAATTGTGTGACAAATACACGGTGAGAAAATGTTTCTGCAAAGCAACCAGACAAACTTGGCATATTGTTTTTCAGAAGTACTTCTAAATACTTTTATCCTAGCAGCAGTATAGCAGTCATAGTAGATTCATACAGATGTATTCATTTCTCCTCAGTTCTTGCAGTCAGCAAGTGTCAGGAAGAACTGTTTTAAAGTATCTTATATTGGGGTTGTTTGGGGGTTTGCTGACTTGCTGTTTTGCCAGCTGTGCCTTTCTAACTGACTTTTTCATTTCAGGCTTTTACTTCAGCTCACACAGTCACAACAGTCTTCCTTTGTTCTAGAGAATAACATAAAAAGTCAAAAAGAAATTGAGGACCAAGTGAAGCGTTTCGGTTTAAAAGCAAGCTCCTTGCTGCTGATGACCAAGGTAAGGGTATGTTTCCTTGCGAGGGAGTTCTCAGATATGTGCAGACAGCACGGGGCCAAGTCCGGCTGAGGTGCCTGAGCCTGTTCAGATATCAAGTCCTGTGTGCGCGATGTTCCTCCGAGCTAATTAACTGTGCTACAAAGCAGGATGTCTTAGCCCGGGCGGGTTGCCCTGGGAGCGCGTTATGCTGACCTGGCACTGACGTCTGTGCTGCGCTGGCTTGTGTCGTATAGGCCTGTCTTTGTTCTGCTGAGGTTCCCCTTGTGGGAATGTTCTGGGCTATTACGTTTCTCACTGGACTTATATTTGCAGATGCTCTTAATCATCATTGCTGTGCGTTTCCTAGGGCATAAGTTTTATCTCGGGAACTTTAGAAGCCACAAAATGGATCACACGTATGGAATGGAAGTGGAGACTATATTGAGGGCCACAGTATCATTAACCACTTCATTCTTTCAGCAGATTGGCAAACAAGCCAGAAACATTCTTTTACGTTATTTCTTTGGTCTGTCCAGTGTATTGGGTTCCAGTTTCAAAGAACTGCGGAGGAGGAGAGTAATATTGTATGGCTTTATTCACAGAGATTAAACGTTTGTAGTGTCATTTATGGATTTTCTGACTTCCACGTCAAGGAGAAAAGGAAGTCAGAGAGAGAGTCACGTCCTCGCTTTCCTGTCTGTATCGGGGCTTTAAGTTAATAAAAGCCAAGTCGTTGCCAAGTTGGCAGGCAATCTTGTGGGATTTCATCCATAAGAGGGCAGTAGCATGCAGAATATCTCTGGTTTTGAAAAGAAGATTGCAAAAAGAAATTTCTCCCCTTGCTTGCCCTGATCTGACGCTAGTCCCCAGTAGAAGGTCAGGGTGTTGGTGTGGTTGCTAGGTGGGCATTGAACGGAGAGCTGGTGTTGAGATTTCCGCGTCTATTCAGAGAGTAAAAATCCCCACATCTGAGCGCAACCGGGAGCTGGGAGGGGCTGTGCAGCTGTGAAGCTCAGGCTGTGTTTTCCCTGTTTATTGCAGAAGGCAAAAGACGACTGGATCGTGACTTGGAGACTTCTCCTAGATGGTTTATGGTTCATGTGTAAATGGCTTTTCATGTAAAAAATCTTTTACTAATGTAATGTTTTCCTCTTTTCCCTGCAAGTTATTTTCTTGTTTCCCATTTTCTTCCTTACTCTGTTTGCAGGTTATGGGGGTGGATCTTATACCAGAAAAAATAAGAGAGGAATTTCAGGGTGAGGTAAAATGCCTAGGCCCTTCAGCGCTGTCATCATTGGTAACTGCATCAGCCACAGAATTTGAAATCAGATGGTTCAGAAATCTCCAGGATGATTTATGTCACTTTGACGGACAGTTCTTTTCAGATATATATAGCCCACCTTCAGGAATTTGAAGGTTTTATTGTATTTATTCTCCTGCCATCAGATGATGATGGAGTGATATATGCAATAAAGTTCATATTGTGTTTTTAACCATTCATATTGTATGTCTTTTAAGAAAATATATATATTTCTCTCTGTCTCGACAGTCTTCATGTCCCAACATTTTTTTCCTTCACTGATTTGTTTGTATTCAGAAGAAGTCCAGTATAAAATTGAGCTGAGCAATTCAGTTTTCAGAGGTAGCTTTCAGTCATAAGCCTCACAAAGTTGTTCTTGAAGCGCTCGTGATTTCTTTTGACCTGGGATGCCCTTGGAACGCCAGGTTGGTTTATGGTGTCCATTTTTAAAGTTTGTTGATATCAAATGTTATGTTGCGGCATTTAGAGCCATACAATTAGCTAATTTCTTAAAATTTTAATATTTCGTGATTAATTTACATTATAGTGTTTAACTGTTCAAAGCTGGATAGATGGGAATCTTAAATATATTTATGTTGAGCAAATTTCAATAAGAACTTTTTTTTTTTTTTAAGGAAAAAAGTCTAAATAGTAAATGTTTTAAGTCGGGAGTGGAGGGAGAATTTCTCTCTTCAAAGGTGTGCATCTTTAGTTGTGCTTATACAAGGAAGGCAAAAAACTGTGAAGATTGTTTATATGTACTGAAGAGTGTTTAGTCAGATCATATCCTTTGTAAAGCCCTGCAAGCTGTGAAAGCTGGCTGTGGTGTTTCTGCATCATCCAGATCCGCACGTTAAGCTTTCAGTGAATAATGATACCTGTTTGCTTTTAAGTTCTGAAGCATTGACAGTGCAGGCTTTGGGCTTGCTCAGGAGAAGGCAGAAGTTACTCTGTAGTTTCTTTGGTTTGACGTAACTTACATTCCAGGCAAACAGGGTGTGCTCTTCCTCCATCTTATCCCCTCTTCGACTGTGATTCAAATTCTCAGCAGCTTTTCATAGAAGTGTTGTTTAGTGGGTGTATTTTAAAACTAGGAATCTTTTAGACATAATTTGCTGTGACTTCACATGTTCCTTGGGTTTCTGTTTGCAGTACTAAAGAGCGTGGAGACTTTAAACAACTGACAATTGAAACATAATTCTCCCTGCGCGAACATGCTTTGTATCTGCTACTTTTATATGTCTTTGTATCTGCTACTTTTACACAGATTTTAAAGCTTCAGGATACTGGTTAGGAAATGTATCGCTAGCACTTGGTAGAGTATAGTTTTGTGCTAAGTTGACTGAGAAACTTCTCCAGCAGAACGGAACATTGCCTTCAGCCATGTCAAATTATCTTTGATAGCTTGGTGACTTAACAAGATTAAACCACATCCTGGTCAGCTTGTTACGAAAGATGCTTTGGCAAGTATACTTGGGTAAGCATTAGTGCACTCGTAATGTATTACAGAATATTCCTTTTAGTCGTACATGTGCTTTGCTGGGTGGAAGTAATTTTTGGTAGAGCGCTGTATTCTGCTGGCAGCGAAGCCCACCTCAGAGGCTGGGGATGTGTTTAAGACTAACTGCTGTCATCTGCATCTTAGGTAGCCTGACCGTGTGTTTTCGGTAGAGATTGTCCGCGATGCGCTGTAAATTAGTTACAGTGTTGGCATCAACAGTTGAATGTCTTATAGCAAAGACATAGCAAACACAGCAAGCTTAATGGCAAACTACCTTGGCAAAAACTTAAGTTACTGGGCCAGGGAATTTTTCCAGTTTCTTCGTAAACTTACAGTCATGAGTAGGCACAGACAAAGGCTATAATTTGTTTTCCCACAGCTCTTGAATGGGTTCAGTACTTACAACACTGGATCACAGCTTTTCTGGGATGAGGTTTGTATAAATATTTCATAGGGACTAGCCAAATGACTTGGCTCTGCTATTTGAGAAGGTAGGAACTGCATTTGAGCTGTTCTAGCAGCAAATGAAGTACTTTCCGAATGTTGTCACTTTGTGACTGAGATGTCCAAAATACACGGCGACTAGGCCAAGGCAGTTTAGAGACTTTGTTGCGTGTGGAGATTCTTTAACTTGAGGCCGTCTCTTAGACTGGCAGCACAAGAGTTAACTAACTCCCAAGTATCTCCCGGAGTTGGAGGCAGGCAACAGCCCTTTGGAAGGGGCAGTATTTTCTCAAACAGAACAAGAAAGCAAAAATGTTGCTTTTAACTACTGCAAAGAAAACAACATGAATGTTGTTCTGAACATGTTGCATAGTTACTGTTCCAAATAGCCGGTGTTTATTGCACAGGGCCTATGAAATATTCCGTTGTCCCATTTGCGTCTGGCTAACTCTCATCTAAGCTACTTCGGTTCCTCCTTTTTTGGCCTGCTCTCACTTTTTTGGCTTGCCACTTCTAACTGAAGCTTTCTGTTCCGATCATATCTCACGAGTGGCTTTGCATTTCCATCTTGCCTTTGAACGCTTTGTCCTTGCTTCTGAGGTCTACATAATTACAGAATCACAGAATCGTTTAGGTTGGAAGGGACCTCTGGAGATCATCTCGTCCAACCTCCCTGCATTCTACCTCTGCCTGTGACAGACTTCTTCATGTTTTGGCTGTTACGGTGTTATTATTGGTATTAATGCACGCACCAGTACTCCACACAGAGTTAAACAGCAAATTTTAATATTGCAAAGTGGAAGTGAAACTCCCCTAACTGTTCCTAAGACTTGATTTTATCCTTCTAACATTTCCTCGTGTTACAGACTTCTTGGGCAGGACCTTCTGACCCAAGATCTGATGGTTCTGAACCGATTGCTGTGTGCAAACACAGGCAAATGATGTGTCTTGCCGTTAAGTGCTTGGATAGCTGCTCTCTGTGTCTGAGGTGATGGAGCGTGTGAGTGCTGTAACTAGCAATGTTAGCGCACAGCTTTTTCCGTTGTATGGCAGCAGTGTTTATGTGATCCCTTCCCTGGTATCAGGCTGACATGGTATGTCAGCGTGCTGCTGTGGCCCTGCTGACAGGTAATTTCTGCAGCTGCCTGTAACCACACGTTTCTGTGATCACTGAGTGATCAAGCCTGTGGGAGCCTGTTAGGATTTTTGGCATAACTCACTGCTTAAATTGTAAACTCTGCTTGTTTTCCATCAAAACTGAAATTCCATTCATTTGGCATTCAAGTTCAGCTGTCGTCTAAATTAGCACAAGCTGTACCCTTGATCCAGGGTTGAAATTAGTTCTTTTTAACTCACAATGCTCCTTCGGTATTACTAGCTCATCTCTTACCTACTTTTCATTAGCTGCGTCCTCCACAACTTCTGTAGGCGAACCATCTAGCCCCACGGTGAGGAAAGGAGCTCCTTTATGGATTTGATGGGTCCTCACCAGAGGAAATTAAGGTTTTGGAGATAGTGGTCTACAAACTTCTCCCCACGTCCCATGCTGCACCATCCCGGTTGGGCCACACCAGGAACAGGATTGCAGTGAACTGAACCAAATTTGGAAGAAACGTGCTAACCAAGCTGGAGGGACACTTACGTTTAATTCTGTTCCTCTTGATCTGAGAAGAAGCAAAACGTACTTCCTGTTCAGTTGGGCTCTGACTTTATGCAGACCGCTTAGCTTTTGGAAGAGAAGATATTAAGGTGCACAAGTGAAGAGAAAATGAAGGAAAAAAATGAATCTCAGAGGGAGTTTAATGAGTCTTTTATTTTTTTCTTTTTTACATGAGTGGTTGCCATATTGTGCCATGCACAATAGGGTTGTCTTAGGAATGAAAAATCAAATCTCCTTCTGCCGCAGGAATCCTTAAAAATGTTGCTGTGTACAGAGATTTACAATTATTTGCAATAGTTCACTGTTCGTTCTGGACTCCAAAACTAGATTCCACAGGTGGAAAAAGTCCACTCTGCAGCTAGTGCAGGATTTGTCCTCCCTGTACCTTTTCTAATGTTCTGTAAACTTCAGCAGTATACTTTCAAAGCAATAGCTTTTTCCAAGGATGAGAAACTCTCTTCACCTGAAATCTTGCTGCTGCATATAGCACAGCCTAAATAATTTAATTTTATTCCTTTTCTTTTTGGACAGGTGAGAAGTCAGACAAAATGGGTCAGATGTGCAAATATGTTTAGGTTTCTGTTTTCTCTTGGAGTCAGTTGAAATGATGATACAAAGCAGGTGTAAAAAAATTACTGATCCGATGTTAAGCATCTAATAACTTTGGATTGTATAGAAACCCTTTATTTATGCTTCATGAATTTTCTTACAAATATTTTATGGCTCTCACCAAAGTTTCTTGTCATTTTCAAGATTATTTGCCGGTAAGTTTTTCTGCTTTGCAGGCACTATGGTTCAAGCTGCAGAACCTCTGGAACTCCCGTTTATTCAATGGGAACTACAGGTACCCAGTTTCTCTGTATTTAAAAAAAAAAAAAAAAATCGAAACTTTAAGGAACTCTGGACTAGAGCATCATGATCTCTAACTTAATGTTGAGTCAAATGACCACTAAAAGTATTTCTAAGATGCACATACCACTAAATGAACTGGAACTCAGTATCGGAAAGGTGTGTTACCAGTAGGGCTTTGCTTCTTTATTTGGCTTCCCTTTGCAGTCTGAATCTACGCGGACGCTTTGCAATGAGGAAAATTGCTCTCAGGTGATGGGATTGGAGGGTTTTAAGAAAGCATATGGGAATACACCATGTCGCTTCTGAGTGAAAACGAGCCTATGGTGGCCGTAGGATGCCTTGTGTAACCTGGACTGTTGGTCTTTGTCCTTTTCATGGTTCGCAAGCCTGAGCCTAGAAACCATGCAGACAGACATCTGTATTTTCCACCTCAAGCAGACAGGTGAGAGACAGTGTGAAGGTGGAAATTCTGTTAGCCCTAAAGCAGTCCTCCCAAGTCAAGATTAAGCAACACGCAGCTTAGACTGTTGCTGCCACCATCATGTCTGTTTGGCAAGTAAATACAAGACCTGAGTCTCCTGAACTGGCTCCTTACACAAGTGTGGAAAATCCACAATAATAAACTGTGACTTAGCCCTCTTTCAGGTGCCTGGCTGTAAGAAGAAGAGTTAACCACCTAAATCTATTGATTCACAAATATGTTATCAAGAGAGGGTGACGGGCAGCTGCAATTTTACATTGTAAGCAGCATTGTTGATATGTGTTCTTAACTGGAGTCATGGTACACCCATGCAAGGTTTATATGAGAGCAGGCTTAGCTTTTCAGTTAGGAAAAGAAGCATCCCTAAGGACCAAACCAAAACAACAGCCTTGAAATCTTCCTCATTTTATATTATACAGAATTTCTATATTCATCAGTACACAAGCAATTGCTAAACAGGTCCTTGCTACGTTTACTTGCAATTCAAAACAAGGTGGTTATGCAAATAGGTTAGCTTTGTGAAGGCACCTCCAAGGTGAGTTTAACCCCGTCCTGTTTGGATCTTCTTGTCTAAGTCTTACAGGTCTGTAAATGTTCACGTTGTTGTAAAGAACCATGGTGGTATCGTAGTGCGGCTGATAGTAGTTAGCCTGGATGGTCTTCTGTGGTGGCGGTGGTGTGAGTGAGACATAGCTGTGGAAGGAGTTAACTCTATGGAGAGGAGACTGGGGGGTGAAGTTGCTGCTGAATAAGGGAGTTCTCGGCGTTTGTTTGGTCTGATGGGTGCTGCCAGCCGAGAGGCTACTGAAAGGATCCGAAAGGGTGTTGGCACTTCCTGGGCTGCTGTCAGGGGGGCTGCGCTGGGGGGCCCAGGCCTTGCTGAGGAGGAAGGGCATGGCGCGGGTCGGAGACTTGGGTCCCATCACCGGCTTTGACAGTGCGTACAGGTGGCGAAACTCCTCATCGAACAGCTCGACCACTTGGCCAGTGAACTTGGAGAGGAGGTTGCGGTGGACCTGGCCACACAACCATGTGAAGCTGGAAGGAGAGACGGGGTGAGGGTTAGTATTAGCTTCCACTGTTAGAAACTGGACATCCCAGCAGGGATGGTGCGAAAAGCATATGCGTTTTACAGCTGAGACTTATTGTCCAAATAGAGGATGAAGATGGTGTTGCAGCTGAATTTCAGGTCAGTTCCCATCAGCGCTCTCTCTTTGACTTGGATCAAGCTTTGTTATTGCAGCTGCCTCTCAAACCAGCAAGAAGCCTTGTAACGTTATATAACCTTCTGAAGGGAGTGGTGAAAACCAAGATCGAAATCAGCTGAAGGACTACATGTTGGTACCTTCAGTACCTAAAGTTTGGGTGTCTGTTCCCTGGAAAGGAGTTTGGATCCCCTGTTATTACATGCTTAATTTAAGCACGGTACATGGAAGGTAAGGTCTTATCATGCACACATATAAATTGCATCTTCCCTGCAGGTTGCCATACCAGTTTGTAAATCTTATCCACTCAGTACTGACACCAGAAAGAACAGCAAAAATAGCCATCCTGTGTTTGTTTTCTTTGTCCAAGTTGGTAAAGGGAAGCACACAAAAACCTCACCCTCCCTGTCATATCCCAGTCCCACAAAACAAGCCCTCCACGCTTGCTTTTACAGGTGTCGGACAAACGCTCACTTCATTAGAGAAATAATGACATGCATAAATTTTTCCTACAGCCTTTACAAAAATAAAAATACTACTTTACTATAAGACCAAAACTCTGATGTATTCTCATAATCTAGAGATGCGCCTTAGACTACCCCATAGTTTTTAAATAGTTTTTCTTTTATGTTCTTCCCTACTCCGCTAGGCAAACGTACACTTCATCCCAATTTGTGCTTTTCTACACAACCCCCTGCCAGCTTGATTCTGCTGCGCAGCCCGCCTTGTGCGAGCACCAGCATCGGCAATGAAACGAGCACAGCTCCGAGAACGAAACGTGATTGCTCCCCGAGCTGGCCAGGGCTTGAGCCACGCGGCAGAGACCGTCGAGCAGTGCTGGAGCTTGACCCGAGGTTATTCTGTGTCGGCATAATGCTGCCCGGTTATTCCCGTGTGACTTTATTAGCTAGGCTGGATTCGCACCAGGATTGCTGACAGCCAGATTTGGCTGGAGGTGTGCGCGCTTTAAATCTTGTTCCTGTCATGTTTTGACAAAACTGTGAAAATCAGTGGGCCTGACAGCCTAAGCTGACACGAACAGAGTCAAGACATACAATTTGAATCTGCCAGTTCAGGGCATTTTTGTAGAGGGTTAGGTTTTGGACAGAAGTGTTTATGCTGTTGCTTCAGGCGTGGGGAGGAGAGGAGTGAAGTACTGGCTAGTTCAATGCCACTGGGCAACAGTATAATATATATTGCACATTGTACGACTGGACACTAAAATATACAATAAGTGTTAAGAAAATACAGGTACTTCTCATCTACTTTGTTCAAATCATTGTAAATATGGACAAAACCTTAGCTCACAAGGTAGACAGTGCAACAAGCTAATTCCCCGCTGTTTTGGTAACGTCTGCTGCACTAACTCTACGTTGCGTTCATCCGCTAAGAAGCACGCTGTAAGCCTTGGTACATCTTCTGTTTAACTCTAAGCAGATCAGAAGTCAGACGTTCTGCTGACATAGCTACGTTTAAGGTTAGAACCTGTTAAAGAGCTGAGGCCTGGGATGACGGATTTGTGTTTTAGGTACGATAGATATGGGGTTCTAGTTTAGAAGAGAGTTTATGGAGAAATAAAAACAAAAATTACATATTTATAAGTGGCTTTTAAAAAACACTCAACAAGCTCAGAGAAAAAAACTCTTGGGCTAATTCTGATAACTTTACTCCCATGTGTTACTCCATGGCTTACTCCTTGAAGTACCTGGCTGATATTTATTTGTGGCAGCTGATAGTTATTTGTTTCCTGTAACCCGTGTAAGTACAGAAAGTCAGATCCAATTCATAGCCCCAAGTCCTCTGTGGACTGATAGCAAATGGGTCAGTCATAAATTCAGGCAAGTGAGACCTGCGTAACTTTAGACTCTCCATGTAACAAGTCAGAGCAATATACCGTCTGTGCACTTGGCTGAAAAACAAGGCAAAACTTTCATGAAGACCTAGCACGTTTTCCACTTGCTTCATTCTGAGAGGAAACTCATTGTAGAGGTGTTAGGTCTGGTTTTAGGTCAATAGTTTACAGTTCTGAGTGCTCTTGGCTCTGTGAGAAAGGCTCAGAAAAAGGCTCACTTTTCATTAGACCAGTTGTCCAGAAGGATCATATCCCACCATGCCTATTTGAGCTGAAGCACGTTAGGCAGAAGAGAAAGCACAAAGATGTACTTGCCCACTTGGGGCCAAGGCCCAAGTATCACACGTTCAGCCATCGGCAGATATTTCTCGGAAGTATGTCCAGGGTTTTGCCTCAAAAAGCACGGGCTATTTTTCATTGTCTCACTTCAGACTGTTTGAGTCAAAACCCACCTCTCCTCTTTGATCTGCATTTGCACCAGCTTCATTTTCTCTGACTGCCCCTTGCCCCGTTACTCCAGCTGCAGTTCGCTACGGACCCCTCGGTGCTCTCGTTCCTTGTATTCACGACACTGCAGTAATGAGCAGCATCACACAAAACAAATTTAATCTACAGCGGGAAGCCTGGGTTTTCAGCTGAGCTCAGGTTTGACATTTGAACTACTCAATGTGACAGTGTTGCCTGCTGGTGGGGCAACCGCTGTGTGAGAGACCTGCTCCAGCTTAGCTGACGCTATCCACCGAGGGACTTATGCCTGGGGTTAGGTCTTGGCTCTGAAGAGGCTTTCCACGGGTGGTAGCCGGAGGGGTAATCATCTGTTGCCTCCGAGGAGCAAGGTCTGTGTTTGCCCCTGTTTCACTCTACCAACTCAGCAAAAGCCAAGGAGGGACTGGGACTCTGACCCCTGGGGCAGACGGTCAGGAGCAGATGTTAGCCTAGTGCAAGGGGGTGGTCGCACTGCTCCCGACTCTAGGGCTTTCTGCCTGAGGAGACAGGGCTGGGGTCTGGCGTTACCATTTTACCTCTTTTAGGAGCACTGAGTTTGCATGCAATCGAACCTCAAATTTTGTTAAAAAAAAGGAATAACAGTTATCTTAAGTTGGGGTAGATAGATAAACACAGAGAGAGGGGAAAAAAAAAATCCTACATCCTAACCCCACACAACAGATGTAGACAATAAAAAATAAGGGGAAAACTACATCTTAAAACACTTTTAAAGGCTTGTGGGCCTGTGCTCATACAAATACACAGCTGAAAAGGCCCTCAGAGATGTCTCAGCCCGTGTGCTGTACGAGGCAGAACCGAGCATACGCACTAACCTAACCGATGGCTCTTCAATGTGTTTTTAGAAATGACTCCAGAGCAGGAGATCCCACAGACTCGCTGGCAGGTCCTTTGCCCCTAACAGTTAACCGATGGCCTTCAGTCCTCTTTGTTGTCTACTAGGCAAATATATTTTGTGCCCAAGCACTGTGGCTACAACCACTGAATCATGGTCCCTTTTAGGGCAGTACGTACTGAAGGGCTATTTCAGTTCCTCAGCCCACTCCCCTCATTGATATTACAAAGCCAACTAGAGCGCAGCACTTACGTGAAATATGCTTTTGTATTAGTTTTGAACTCTATCCAAATGCAATCTAATAACCACAGTGCAGAAGAGTCTGTTCTACTCAATGTTAAAATCTTTCTTGTTTACACCTGCAGAAGTTGGTGAATAAGGTTTTAGGGATAGCAGAAAACTTTCAACTGACTAAAGCGAGAGCTAGCAAGCTCATAAAAATGCCGTGTGGTGAGAGGCAGCTATAACCCAGATGACTCCCCAAATCTGTGCTGAGCATGCTGAAGTTAAAAAATGTAGAGATTTATTTCTCACCACCCTCTCTGCTTGCTTGCTGGATAGGAGGTTATGCAGTTTGATAAGTCTCTTTGGGTTAGAAGATACTGCAAGAGCAGTAGAGAACGACAGAAGTGACTCTGCATGGGACTTTGAGGGTGGGTTTTTGGGTTTTTTTTTTAAATTTATTTTTCTTAGGAGTGAAAAGGGATGCCAAAAGGAAGATTCTTGGCTAAAGAAAATGTCTTGTTCTGTCCCTCTCCTCCCACATGTCCACTCCATATATAAATCTAATGTTGCATTTTGGTGAGGGTTTAAAAGAAAACTGAAAGCTGAGAGAACAACAAAAACACAGAGTGGGCAATTAAACCCATTCTGTGTGTTCAGTCATTTTTGTCTGATGGTTCATTTGGGAACTGAATGAAAAATGGGCGCCTGCACTTCGCACAGCCTAAGCTAACCCCCTGTATTCACTTCACTTTCGTTATTACAGTTATATAATCTTGCTGGTGGCATAGTTTTACGCGACGAAGGGCATTTAAGCCTCCAATCCTAAACCTGGATTAAGAAAAAAAAAAAAATCCCATCCTTTTAATTAAATAATCAAAGCTGTGTTTTTTTTTTTCCTCTTGCGTTTTTGTATCTGAGTTTTTAGGGGACACTTCAGTCATTTGTGAAGCTTATCTCTGTAGTCATGAGACTTAGGAACTTTATTTATTTGAGCCAAGCTCAGAGTCTCAAGTCTGACAATCTTGGATCTTAATTCAAATCACAACTGTTGAGATGCTATATCTTGTACCTGAAATAATCAGAGCAGCACAAAAATGGACAGGATATCAGATGTTGCAGATGCAGCTCACAAAAAAGTAAGGTACAACAGTTACATAGACACTTCTTATCTGTTAAAGAAACACAACAAGAAAAAATAGGAAGTCTCCAAGGTATTTCTGTTTTCCCTTTAGTCACTAAATTTGTCGTATGGAGAACAAATCTTTAGATAAGCTGAGTGACATGTGCTACATCAAGGGCTGCTGAGGGAGATGATGGAAATGTATCATGGCTCATGATATCATTTGAGGACCCAAACAACGAGGAAAGCACAACATTAAGATATACACATTTCTAGTTGTGCTCCAGACTGCGCTGGAAAAGTCATTTACATCAGTCCTGAACATTTAAATTAAATACCACGTGCTATAAAGATCTCTCATAAGCTTTAAAACAAGTTAGAAAAACGTGTTAAATGGATTGTTGAAAAATGGCATATACTTGAAAGCATGGGGGTTTTTTGTTCTAAAAAAATGTTCAGCTGTTCAAAAACTTTCCTTTGTCAAGTAATATTAAAAATAATAAAAGGGCCCAGAGACACAAACTACAATGGCTGATCTCACCTGTAAGATCCAGAGAGCACATATCTCCAGTCAGAAATAAGAAATTTTTCTTGTATTTGTCCTGCAAATTTTCTGCCTGATTTGGCACAGTAAACCTCTCCAGTAACACTGCGGACTGAAATATTCTAGTAAAGAAAAAAATAATAGTTAATATAAGCAGAATTAATTACATCTTTTAATTAAAAATCAGGAGGAAGGGGCCCTCTCTCCCTACAACCCCTACCTCTTCACTTCTTCCCACTGCTCTGATATCTTCATGAATTTTCTAATGTTACATTTAAAGGTTTGGGGATAGCGTAACCCTAGTTAAGCTTTCTCACCTGATAGTGTTATTTATTTCAATACGGTTATAAACCTGCATGGAAACTCATGCAGGTGGAGCTGCACTGTTTGCCTGTGACGGGTGCTACACCTACCGTAAGTAAGAGATAAGTGTCCTTAACTGAGACCAGTCTGTCACCTCCACTGACATCCCAGCAACAATTTGCACTAGACGTGACCCCAACGTGTTTTACGTTGCCTGTTGTACAACACAGTAGGGCAAAAAGCTGTACTCATACTGGCCCTGCACAGACATCCGGGCCTTCTGGTGAAATCCATACGGATGGCATCGCTGCAGTAGGAAATGTACGTACGGGCACGAACTGAGAAGCAGGTCGATTTAGCCCCTTGCTAGGCTCTGCGCTGTTGCAGGTACAATTGCTCCTTGTACCCGAGCGTGCTCGCTTAAAGCTAGGTCAGGTACCCAGGCGTTGCGCTGCTGTTTGCCGCGCTCACTTATCCTTTGTAGGAGCGAGGCCTCGGTAAACGGAGTGGCGCTGAGGAGTCGGCTCACACATTTTTGTGTGCAGCTCCAGCTGCCCACTAACTGCAGCTGCTAGACCACGGCTCCTGCACAGTTATTAAAGAGAAGCCGTCGTAATGCTTACAGCACGCATCTCTACTGGGGGCCTTAAGCTCTGTTTTAAGACTTAAGAGCCCAGATTAGTTTCATTTAAGGTTAAGCAACTAACGGAAATAGCTCAGCTTCCTATATAATTCGCAGAAAAATGTAGGCATCTTCAGTAGTGTGTTAGGGAAGTTAACGCTACCTCTGGATGTCTCCTTCTCCCTTTTAATTACAAGGTGGAACGACTCGAGCATAATCATGCTGCTAACCCAAAGTGCCAAAGTTCAGAGCCCAAGATTTTCCAGAGCCCCAGTACCTTGAAGAGATCCTCAGCAATCTGCAGCTTGTCACACATCTCAGAGAAGAGCTTTACATTGCCATGATCGAGCAACAGGTAGACAAACACCATGCGCTTGTTAGCCGCCTCCAGGAGGTCGCAGAGAATCTCCGTATCTGTGAACACGTCCATCACGATTGCTAGCACCTGGGGGAAAAGCAGAGGCATTAGCAGAGTATGTCTGCATAACTTAAGGTTGCTTGCGAGGCCACTGAAATGTAGTGGGATTTTTTCATTGTTTTTTTAAAAAATTTCCAACAAACACAAGCCTTAGAACCTATATGTAGGTATTTCTGTTTTTCTCCCCAAGTGCCCTAATCAATGAGATATGTTGCTTCACTGTTTTATTGGTCATATAGATCCAATATAACATACATGCTTGACTTAAGTCGTTTTCATCATAAAACACAGTAAGACCCAGGAATTTGTGAGTGAGATTTCAGCACTCAGACATATATTGAAGAAGTAATCAGAGAATTTGTGAGTGAGATTTCAGCACTCAGACATATATTGAAGAAGTAATCAGAGAATAATGAGGATATAGCTAAAAAAGGAGCCCGCAGCTCTTGCCAAACAGCTGGCCGGCTTTCCTAAGGAGCATGCGCTTAGCCAGAGTCACCGCATGACGCTTTCTTTCTCTGTTACGACTTATGCCTGGGACAGATTCTGCAGTTGGTCGTGGGGGGTCACAGACTGCAACATCTCCATCTTTTTTATTTTTTACACCAAACTTTCACAACGATTGATAAACTTACTGTTTCAATGTAAACACATCTCCGCACCTCCCAATCCACAAATGGCGGGATAGCGTGTAAAAGTCTCAGAGTGGCCTGGACTGGGCACAAAAGACCCTCCAGCTACGTAAACTTGCAGCCTCCAGACAGCTGGGATTCAGGGAACTGTAAATGTGTTGATTAAAAAAAAAAAAAAAAATCACTTCTACCCCACTGCCCCCGGGGCTCAGCATCGGGGCATGGATTCACCCTGCCTGATTAAGGCACTGGTCTCCACAGAGCTGTTGTCCATGGAAAGGGCCATCGCCCCAGGGCAATTCAGCCCAGCTAGTATCTGTCTTACCTTCAGAAAGTGCCGGTTCCTCTACTGACTCGAACGGAAACCCGTGAAAATTGCACTCATGGTGTGAACAGCTTTGAAAATATATCCAATCAAAACACCCTTTACAGTATTCTGGGAGAGCTGTCTTACTAGTTTCTTTAGACCAAGCGTGCCCCGCGTGGAGGCACCCTGCTCCGACGAGCCGAGTTATCAGCAGGACAGCGAGGGTCCCCCATCCCGAGTCTGCACCCAAAGCACAGTGCTTGCCAGCGCTGCGGAGCTCAAGTAAGCACATCCCATAGCTCACCTCCACGGTTACTGCTAATGTCTTTTTAAACAGCGTAATACTGCTGCCTCACTTGCAGTCTCACCACAGCCCTGGACTAGTCTCTCTAGGACTGCTTTCTCACCAGTTGTCCCGACTTGTATTTCTACATCTGACCTTTCTCTCTTAACTGCAGTACTTTCTCATTCGCCTCGGCTGAATTTCTTTTTACCATCTGGACCTATTTCATCAACGTTTTAAGATTATAGTACTTGCTGCTGGCCAATGCTTTGCAGTTTGATGCCATCCAGCAATGTGTTTTTTAGCCCATTGTTTAAGTTGTTAATGGATATATCAAACACGGCAGGATCTAGAACGGACCCTTGGGAGATACTATTTAATAAATCCGGCCATTGCAAAGCTCTACTCAAAGAGCAGTCGCCAAAGGGTTACTGTCCATCGGGGTTACTCTAGCAACCTCTTGCAACGTAAATTAGTTTGCCAAGAAGGTCATGTGAGATTGGGTCAAGAACCGTGGATTTATATTGCACTTCCCATTTTTTCCCCTAGAGGTGGTCTCCTCTCAAGATGCAAAACTGGACTGATGTGTCAGCTGATGCTTATTCCTCAGGTATTTCTTTTGCTGCTGCATCTTTCTGAGGCTTTGAACTTAAACTGACTGCTCTGCAATTGCCCTGGCGTGCTGAGCATGGGTAGCGTGCGAAAGGGCAGTTGCAGGAGGGGGCCCTTCTCCTCCGCTGTTGCTCTTGGGGCTCTCAGCCCCAGAGCGTGCCCTTGCAGCGGAATAATGAAGCAAAGACAGGAGGTCTGGAGGACTCCACGGCCTTGCCGGGTAGCGAGCACGCCAGAGGCCTCCTGCCTTCACGTCTTGCATTTCTCTAGCCAGTAGAGATTTGAGATTAAAGTTTTGAAAAAGGAATAACAAAACAGTTTTGCCTAGCTGAGATTAGGAACAATGGGCAGTATTAGTGGTTATAACATTTGAAAGCCAGGTTGCAAAGAAACCAGTCGATAAAGTACAGTCTCTTCCCGGAGACGTATCTGTGTCCCTCAGGGGCTCACTGCCCACCCTAAGGCCGAGGGTGTACTCTGGTAAGTGATCTCACTTTTAGCAAGAAATTCCAGAAAATCTCCTCCTGCTTCGGACGTGGCCCACTGCTTTGACCTTTGAGAAGTCCTTGGGGGCTCTGTGGTTGCTGCTGAATTAGTGGGAATCCCCAAATTTCCCTTCCAGGGCAGTAGCCATAATGGTTTTGTTTCTGACCATTCATCCGTGAAACGGCTAATGGAGTCTCAAGTTTATACAACCCCCCGATGATGACGAGCAGAGTCCTGCAACGTCTACTGTTTTTTTTTTTTTTTTCCCCCTCCAAGGGGGGAAAAAAACCGGAAAACGGAGCTGTAGCAGTTACACCAGAATACACATCACAAAAGCGTTTTGTCACCCGTCAGCCGCGCACCCTCCGGTTTCCCAGCTCCTGGGCAGTCTGACCTGCGACAAGACCCTTTCCCCGGCGCCTTTGTCACCTCTCTGTCACCGGGGGCATCGCCTACACGTTTCCCACAAGCTGCGTTAGGCTGCTGCGGAGTTTCTCTTGGAGCCCACAGGACCTTTTAGTGGCACTGACAACACAACAGGGACGAAAGGACTTTTTCCAAACGAGCCCATTGCTTTGGGGACGCCTCCCGGCACAGCAGTGCTGCCTCTCACCCCCGTAAAGCTATACGTGCCCTGCCCCAGGCTCCCCCGGCCGCCCTGTCCGCAGCAGGCGCTTGCTGGGCAGGGTAACGGGAGGTTACAGCGGGGAACATGCCTTTTATTTTTTGGTTTTTGTTTTTAAGTCGCCAAAGCGAAGAGGTGTTGACGTAAGGACAAAAAAAAGAAAAAAAAAGAAAAAAAAAAGCACTGCATTTGTTCAGCAACGGCCTCTCTAAAGTCACTCTCCCAGAGCAAAGCTACGCTGTAATGTACCACCAGGCTGGCTTTAACCAAGCACCGTGTTTAGCTGATCTTTTTAAAAGCAGGAAGGCAAATAAACGCAGAGGGAACATGAATTTTCTCTCTGTACCTGAGTGGTCTTGTTGATGTACCGGCGTATGATGTCTCTGATGTTGCTGTTCTTCTCTGTTTGGAAATACACAGTGGCAGTGGATTTTTCCTTTAAATAGGGCTTTTCTGCGGTAACCCATGTGTGCAGTAGAGCTGGCTCACTGCTGTCAGAAATGCTTGGGAAGTAGGTCCCCGACGTAAGCGATCCGGCATCGTTCTGCTTGGGTCCCGCTGCCCCGTCGGCCAGAGATTCGTGCGCGTAATAAGACTCCTTGGCGTTCTCCTTGATGTACTGAGCTTCCACGGAGGAGAGGAAATCCACCTCTCCCTCTTTGTTTAGGGTTTCGAGATAAGAGTCTGTCCCACCATCCAAGAAGGCGTCCGTGGCCAGTCTTATACTTTCATTGTGACTGAAATCCGCTTTTGTCACCTTAAGGGACTGGTTCTTGATATCCTCCAGCCTTTTCCTTATCTTGCCCAGGTGTCTCGAGTGGCTCATGGTCCTTTGTCTCAGCAGTCGATCCGCAGGGTAGCCACCATGCATACGCACTGTGCAGGCAACACAATCCTCCTTCTCGTTCAGAGACTGCATTCTGGCGTAAATTCACTTCAGCTGAAGGAATTAATTATGAATAAAAATAAAGAGATCTTACTACCTCGGGCAAATTCACACTCTCTGATTTTGTTGGTACAATTACCTTAAAAAAAAAAAAAACCAACAGCAAACCTGAACACGCTCGCTTCTCTGATGTGCTTCAGCAACAATCTCTTTCCAGATGGGACACAAGCACAAAGCTGATTAGATTGCTTATCTGAGAGGCACCCACCTTACCCCAAGGGCATACGGAGGATTCAAGTCCAATTAGCAGGGCTGTCTGATTCGGTTCTCTTTCCCTTCCCGGAGCATTCTGTGAGAGGTGCGAGCGAGGAAGAAAGCGTTCAACCACGAGCAGGTAGGCTTCCAAGCATCATTGCACAATCTTCAAAACAGCTTGAGGCTTCTCAGTCTTCCTATAATGTTCGTTATGGAGCACAAACAACTCTGATGATGTTTAACTGGGACAAAGTCACCAGCCATGGTCGTAACTTCAGAACTGCAAAAAGGGTCAGGGACTCTTGTCTCTGCCTACATGCTGCCAGGCAAGTGTAAAAATAGCCTGAAATTTGTCACTGTGTCCCGTTCATAGTATGCTGCTATTACCATAGACGATGCACTAATTTGTTTCTTTAAAGCTTTGTGACTACTCTGTCCTATTAAAAGAAATAAATACCCTTTCTCAAACATGCTGAATATTATGTGAAGGCAGGGTTGTGAGCCAGCCTCAACACATCAGAAATACACTCATCATTTGATTGTGCACATTTAGTGCTGTTTGGTTTCTTTTTTTTCCTTAAGCTGCAGCTTCTGGTGTCACGTCGTCATACTTGAAGCTCAGCTGCTGTGTCATTATAGAGACTAAGGCCCACGTTCTCAGCAGGGACAAGAAGTGAAATACCTGTGGGGACCTAGGCTAACTGGTATGTCCGCACAAAGATGAGGTAAGACAGGGTGTGAATGTACCGTGCATCAGGTGTTCCATAAATACTTGCATGCATACTTTTATGCAGGCCCATGTGACACACTTTTATCACGCAGGTAGAGCTTACCGTCAGCTTTGCGAGTCTGCTCCATGCTAGGTATAGGCATGCAAAGTGCTACAGGTCTGGAGCGGATAGGCTGGCGCATAAATGCTAGTCTTGTCTCTTGTACAGGGGTTAAGGGCAGCTAAGAGCACGTCCGAGCTGGGACTCATACTGCTCTTACCAAAGTGCTCTGGAACAAAGATGTTCTCAGGAGTAACACAGACCTATTTTTTCAGGCCAGATTCTATACCAAATGGGTCTGCCTTATGGAAGAGAGTAATTATATGCTAGTAGGACATAAAAATATATATTCAAATAGAAGGGAAGAGGAAATAATTGTTCAGATTTTAAACCTAGAGCAATGAAAGGTAGGAAACACCCACCTCAAAGAGCCAAAGGAGAGGTAGCCCCCGGAGCCCAGCCACCCCACCATGTCCCAGCCACCACGGCACAGCTGGCGATGTGGTTTTAAAAACTACCCCCTGGCCTCAGCCCCCCCACCCCCGACACCCGCCTGCAGCTGTCAGACACAGTAAAAAGTCATTAATTATCTAGTGACCTGCTAAGCGCAATTATGCTGAAAATGATGCTGCGTAATTAATGTGACGTGCAAGATTGCACCCTGTCAACACCAATCAGGGCCTCTCCGTGCCCAGCGACGCCGTCGTGGGAGTCCTTCACCCGGGGCTGGGCACTCACCCCTGCCGGCGGGGGGCCAGCGCTGTCACCCCGGGGTCCCACACGCTCAACTAGGGGTCCTACGCTGTCACCCCAGGGTCCTACACCATCACTGTGCGGCATCACAGTCGCCATGGGGTCCCACACTGTCACCCCGGGGTCCCACACGCTCAACCAGGGGTCCTACACTGTCACCCCAGGGTCCCACATGCTCAACCAGGGGTCCCACACTGTCATTCCAGGGTCCTACACCGTCACTGTGAGGCATCACAGTCGCCATGGGGTCCCACACTGTCACCCTCGGGTCCCATACACTCACTCCAGGGTCCCACACTGTCATCCCAGGGTCCTGCACCATCATTGTGGGGCATCACAGTCACCCCGGCATCCCACACACGCACTCCAGGGTCCTACACTGTCACCCCAGGGTCCTACACCATTGCTGTGGGGCCTCACAGTCACCATGGGGTCCCACACTGTCACCCCAGTGTCCCACACGCTCACTCCAGGGTCCTGCACTGTCACCCCGGGGTCCTACACCATCGCTGTGGGGCCTCACAGTCGCCCTGGGGTCCACATTGTCACCCCGGGGCCCCCACGGTGTCCTGCGTGGGTCCCACACCGTCACCACGAGGCCCCCCACAGTCACCCAGAGAGGCACCGCGGGGTCCCACACTGTCCTTGGGGCCGCAC